AATACATAGGCTTAGCACTTTTAAAGCTTGAGTGATAGTGATACTGTGACTGTCAAGTTCTCGTGTAAATGATTTAATGATTATTAATTTAATTATTATTATAGCGAGTCGTTTAGAAACGAGACATGATAATCGAGATGATAGTACTGAAACGTTAAATGCAGAACCTGATCTAAGACTGAAGATGTCAGATATTGAGCCTAACTTTGAATTGCTTTGTTCTATCAAACAGCCACAAATATCCCATTAAGAGTTTTTCCAAATGTAAAACATAAGAACCAGTTTGTTAAATTTATCTTGTTTTCAACTTTTATAGCCATCATTTTAGTCTTATTAATGTTTTATTTAAATGTTTCACGATTAATATAATAAATTATTCTGCAATATGAAAAATATATATTCTATCAAATTTTATTGCTTTTTTTTACCTGTCATTAACGACTACATAGGGTGTTCGTCAAATTTTTTCGGACGTTTCTTTTGGTTCGCGAGGAAAAAAAGATTGGGAAACACTGCTTTAGAGCAAACTTAATTAAAACACTTTACATTTTTATACATTGAATATTTTGATAAATTGCGCATTAGCTTATACTACACCCAATACATAGCTTCTTCCTTGGTTGGCTATACCAGAAATTGCCAAGGAAAATGGGAAAACAACTAGATGATAACCATAGATAAAATGATAACCATATAAACGTACATAACCTGTAAGTGATTCTCGTGTTTTGATTTAGTAACCGTTGTTTATGAGTTTTGAATTTGCAATTTTAAGGATCTTAAAGAAAAATATGAAAATGCTATTAATGAAGATTTAACAATTTATTATTCATTAAGGATTTGAAGCACTACTGTCAAATTAATCACATGTACATTTGATCTCGCCAGTTTAACTGTCTATACCTACTGTTATACTACTAGACAATTTTAAAGTATGAGGAATATTGCTACCATTTATCAAAACTTTTCAAGGAAATGTAAAGTTCTGAAGGTAAAACATTATTCTTAAAATTTTATTTTGTTCGAAGGCAGTAATGTTTTAGGCAAAAGTTAAACAAACACAAGACTTCTTCAGAGAACCATCAAATTATGAAAAATACACTGATAGATTAACAGCAAAATTAAGTAGTTTCGAAAACAATTTTTTACATAAATACGAATGGTGGATTAAAAAAGGGGTAAGAGTATTAATCATAAGTGTAATGTATTTCTTCTCTAATAGATATATACATAATAGTTGATAAAACTAAGGTTTTAGCTAGACCTTTAGTTGGAAAAGTATCACATAAACATGAGAATGAAGAAGACAGAAGAAGAATAAAAGGGTTTATTAATTTAAAGGTGAAATGTAATATTTTTCCATATCTACAAAAATGCAAATTATCATATTTTAGGGTCAGCAGTATCTTCAAAAAAACAAAAATTCAATATGGTGTTATAGTGCTGTTCCTGTAATAGCATCAGAAATATCTGATAAAGCAGCAATAGTAGAAAAAATTTCCGAAAAAATTCCTGAACCTCCACCAGTGCCTGATGCATCTGTAGAAGTATTAAATCAAATAAATGCTTTAGGTGAACCTACTTTTGCATCTTTGGGCTTAGGAGGGTGGTCTCCTATTGGAATTGTTCAGTCTACATTAGAATATATACATGTTACATGTGGATTACCTTGGTGGGGAACAATTGCTGTAGGTATGAAAAGACATTTTTGACGGTAGTGTATTTTTTCATTACAAGTATATAAAAAAAAATGTGATTTAGTATTTTAAAAGATTTTAATATGTAGTGGTATACGTAATAATTATAAAATAAAAATCTAATTCAATGATTTATTTTTATTTTAAAACTGCATAAATATTATACAGTTACTAAACGCGGTTTGTTTAGTTAATTTATATTAATTCATTGGACTTATCCAATATGGGTGTATGCTTTTTATTCCAAGTGAAGGGAAATCGTACTTAAAAAACAACCCAATAATTATTCTACAGGATTCCAAGTAGTTCTAAAACATTAATTGTAATAACTATTTGAATCGGTTAAATTACGATTTTAGTTTGATAATTTAATATTGTATATAATGTTATAAAATGAAACTTCATTGTTTTGAAAATTATTAATAGTTTTACTTTTTATGTATTTTATTTTGATTATTACTTCTTTTCTTTTTTCATAAAATTTTATATCTATTTATTTTAAAGGTGCTTGTATTTTAGGAACCATCATTGTACGTGTGCTTATGTTCCCTTTGGTCATTATTTCACAGAGAAATGCAGCCAAAATGAATAATTACATGCCACAAATGCAAATACTTCAATTGAAGATGACAGAGGCTCGACAAATTGGAAATCACTTAGATGTTGCTCGATATTCTCAAGAACTTATGGCATTTATGAAAGAAAAAGGACTCAATCCTTTTAAAAATATGCTTGTTCCTCTAGCCCAAGTATGTGGAATTGTATGCCTGAATTTTCTAAATCAAGATTTAAACCTTATATAAGTTACATAAAAGAATGTAACACATTCAATGAAATTGTGATATCTTTTAATATATCACAAGGAAATACAACATATATGTATACTAGATTCAACAAAACACCTAAAGAGCAATCATATGCGCACCTACCTATTTTGATTATATTTATTAATTCTATTGGTAACTGTTTTGTTTCTGTTTTGTAGATGCCACTTTTCATTTCATTTTTTATGGGACTACGGCAAATGGCGAATGTACCTGTGGATAGTTTGAGAGAAGGTGGAATGTTATGGTTTACCGATTTGACTTTACCTGATCAATACTACGGCTTACCCCTTATAACTAGTTTCACTTTATGGGTTACAATAGAAGTAATTTATTTATGTACCATTATAAAAATGTACATTATCCCGGCATATGTTTATTAATTTTTATAGTTTTTTAATTAGCTACTACAGCATTTTACAAGAACTTATATCAGGAATTTAATGAGAAACCCCATTTTAAAATTTAAACTAAATTGTTTGTTTTAGGTAGGTACAGATGCAGGAAAATTATCTTCACAAAACCTCCAAACTATGAAGTATATTTTGAGGGCTGTACCGGTATTAATTTTACCATTCACTGTTAACTTTCCTGCTGCCATTCTATGCTATTGGGCATCAAGTAACTTTATTTCATTAATACAAGTCGGTATTTTACGAATACCTACCATTCGAGATTATTTCAAAATCGAGCCCTTAGTAAATCACAAGCCAGAAAATTTGCCGATCAAGAGCAAAGGATTTGTGGGAGGAATAAAAGATAGTAAGTAGCTATAAGATTTTCTATCATAACATATCTAAATATAAACATTTATCTGTTTCTTACTAGCTTTTTACATTTTTTCTTTCTTTTTGAATCTGCACATTTTAAATTTAATTTTAGCTTGGACGAATCTCAAAGTAAGTAAAGAGATTGAGGATAGACAACGATTTGATGAAGTTCAATTTAGGAGGGCAGGAAGAGGTCCAGTAGTGAAAACATACAAATATGATCCCACAAAACAAACTGTTCAACAACCGGTTATTAATGCTAAAAAGCGATAGTTTTTTCTTGTGTGTATATATATGTGTGTATACTATACTTAGTATATAATTTTTTATTTTAAGTTCTTGTTTTCTTTTTTGTTTGAATAAATTAATTTTTAACATTCATGATTTAGTACACTAATTTTTTCCCACAAACTAAGAATTCAGGTACAATCTTATTTATTTTATGTATTCTAATTACATGTACATTATACATTATAACGTTAAAAGAGTATGTTTGGAGCACAACTCTGTAAGAGTACGAAACACGGATGGTGGTAGCTGCAGAAAAGAAAAAGTGGGAACTGTTGGAGGTTTGAAACGTGGTATGTTCAGAAAGATGATGAAAGTATAGTAGATAGAAATGATTAAAAATGAAGAAGTATTAAAAACAGTATGAGAGGCAAGGACGCTAATGTAGGCAGGAAAGAAAAGGAGAGAAGTAGGACACCTCACAATCAGACATGAAGGTCTAGTTAGAGACATATTAAATGCAGAGTATTTTGCGGGGGCAGAAGAATTAGATTAGTGGGAAATGAAGATTGACTCAGGATAGGTAGGAGTGGAGATGTGTCCATAATGATAAAACTTGAGATATTGCTTGCACTAAAGCACTACATTGATAGCTACGGGAGTAGATCACCCATGTGTATCTAGCCATGGCTTGCTTTATTACCTACTAGCAATAAGTTAAAAATCACTTAATTAATTTTGATTACCTTATGTCTAAGTGCTATTTTCAAAACATTTAAGCAGAAATTATTTTATTACTAATAGTGATTTAATCCATTTAAAAAAATACAACAAATACATTAAATTTAAGCTCTCTTGCGATTCATTGTAAGGGGTGTAATACATTGATTTATTACTTTTATCAAGTGTGTATTTTCTAATGCAGCAGCAACTCGCTCTTTGTCAGCTAGTTGTTTGTTTACTGAGTTTTCAGAAACATGAGTACCAGGGTTTATCTCAACTGAAACTTTAAATCGTGGAGGTAGTGACCTTAAAAGTTTTACTCTAATGGATAAACCAATTAATGTTGCCATACTGCAATGAGGTATAGTTGGTGTAAAAAGTACTTTAACAATGTTGTTTCTATTGTCAACGAAAATTAAACTATCTTCTACTACATGAAGTTCCTCTAATGTCAGAGGGTGTTCAGGATCATTAATTCCCCGAATCAGATCTAGAATTTTCATCAGTTTTATTTCAGTTTTATGTATGAAAAATGCTACAGTTACCAAATATTTCCCTTGAATCTATTTCATCCACAACGCTATCATCTTCCTCATCCGCAGTTATATTACGTTCGGAAACCTTATTATAAATGTTAGGATTACTATTTTCTAATTCCATTATTATTTTAAAATTTGTAGCGTTTTACGTTTTATGGATCAGTTGTATGGTTACATTTTATGCCATAATCGCCATTATTATTACCCATAGACAAATTATCTTTCTTGTCATTTAAACCATCGATGCATTTGATAGTATATAGCGTATATAATAGCTGCGTTCCTTTTATAAGTGAGGTATTATACTTTAAACGAGTTAAAGGATGGATAATGAATAATAATGGCCTTTTATGTTGAAGGATGTGAATATTTAATTTATAAAATGTTTCCTGTGATATCAATTTCTCTAACAGAAAATAAAACCTAATATGTTTTGACGAGCCAAATCATCCTTCATTATTAAATCTTATTAAAAAAACTTTGAACGAAGATCCCATTTGTATTGAAACTTTAGTTATTAAAAAGTATAACATAAACCTAAACCATCAACTGACCTAATACTCTTGCATAAGTACAAGCACAAGCTAGTTTGTGTTTCAAAGGAAAAAGTAAAAATACTCAATAAAATCTAAGCTTATTTTCAAAAAGGGAAAGCACGGACAAAGAAGTGTCCCTCTTTTTTGTCTCACGGCTCATAACCGACGGGACGTCATAGGACTTTCCTACTACAACTGTATTATCTCTTTCAACTGATCGTGAACCGAAAGCGTTTAAGAAATAGTGTCAAAGGGACGCTGCTAGTACATTGAAATGGATTATAACCGTATTCCTATGTCCAGTTTTGTAAAATTAAGGTAAAATTTAAAGAAGCGCTGACGTCTTGTTGTTTCCATGTAGTAGCCAATAGCAATAGTCCGCCATGATATCGAAGCAATACGATGATCGTAACGTTTCTGTTTTATCATTAGTAATTTCCGGGACATTTTTAAACAGCCATTACAATACTACTATAAATCTTTAAATTGGAGCTGCTTACTTACCGTTTCATTAATACGTGTTCCAGTGATCGACACTATTCATTTTCCTTTCGGAACACTATTTTAATGTACTAATTATAGTTCAGCACAACTCACCTTACTCCCTCTAATTCCAATAATACGCGATTGCACTGTCATACGTTAATCATAGATATTCGATACTGACCGAATTTCACATGCATTGAACACACCATTCAAGAGCAATACATATTTAGCCAGTTATTTCTAGTCAAATTCATGAATAATCGGATATAAATGATTAAAATACTAACAATTTAAAAATAATCGACTGTGTTACAAAAATATAGAACTGTTTACCGTAATGAGCATGACCTATGCGGAAAACGAGTGAAACAGCTGTAATATTATTAGAGCTCACTGCTCTCCCTCCGATCATACTTTTTGCCGGCATGAACAGCACATACCGTTTTCATTTCAGTTTTAAATTATTATCTCTCACAATAAAACACAACAATCAACCACATTAAGAAAAAGCTGCTGTGAATGTACTGTTTATTATTGATCGGTATTGACACAAGTTCCATTTAAACAAATCTGTTATATTTCCATGAAGTGCTTAAATTGTTCCAAAAATCCTGCGTACAAACATTAATACGTGAAAGTACATTAAAAAACTGCAATGAATTTCTACTCGTCGGTCATCAAGGTGTACATTTGTGTATGTTATAAATCAAAAAAATGTTTTTATGATTGGAACAATTAACAGTCGCTACATACGTTTGTGCCTTAAAAAATAATCTAGATGAAGATAAAGGCTACGGGTGATAATATAAAAGTATATATGTTTTAAGGCGAAAAGTTCAACAAGTATAAGATGCGCTAGGCACTGAAATAAATTGTTTAATTCTTTTTCAAGTACGATGTAACTTATTACAAAGATAGATCAGCACATTTACTATTCATTTACGGATAATTAGGAAGAGAGAGATGAATATTTTAGCATATAAAGGACCTTAAGTTTTTTTCACATTCGAACACAATTTATATAACCTGAGCTACAAGAGCCTCGGTTCTAGAGATATTGAAATAATTTCGATAAAAACTCTTTCTTCCTAATTAATATTTATAGCACATTTTTGTATGAACACACTAAATGAACATTGCGAAACAATAATTTTTTAATTACATTTATGTTACGTGGGTTGTAAACAAAACGGGTCTACCAAGTTGACAAGCATTTCAGTGTCAAGAACAAACTCTTGAAAATAATTTGTATAATGTCGAATTAGAAAAAAATTCTGCATCTATATGAAACACCGTAACAGATATTAGAAACGCGACAAGAATGTAAGGAGTTTATTCATGACCTTTTACAATGATATTCTGTTAGTTTCAAAGACTTTGTGAACCTTAGATATTCCTAAAATAGTTATCGTGAAGCACCACTTGTTTGTAATGCTACAAATTTTAATTTCACCTACATTCACTCAGGCATAGTCAGTTAGTTAAATTTTTCTGGTAGAATTTACCATAAAAGTTTTTTGTTTTTTTTTTTGTTTTAATTTAGTAATTCCACTATTTTCACGCATCTATTATCATTCGCACCTGAAAGACATCCGCCCATCAACAGCCGCACTGTATACATTCATTTAAAATCACTACACTCGCACATTACAATTTTAAACTAGCACGCGTACACTTTACATTTTTTCAAAAAAAAAAAAAAAACCAATAATTACTCTTGTAGTTTGCAGAGCACTTCGTAAAATATGAATTACNAAATAGTGAAAACCGACTGTTTGTAGCCCCGAAAAGGCTAACAAAAATTTAATACAATTTTTAGAGAGATTACCTACAGAGTTAATAATTCCACACTTTAATTAACGGAATATAAGAACGAATATGTGTTATTACACATTACACGTATAATAAACAGGATTACATGTTCCTACAAACTTAAAATATGTATATTTTAACGTGCAACTTCAAAATTTTGATAAAAAAATTACTGCATTATAGCAACATATAAACGTAATGGGCCTGATAGAATTATTTACAATTCAATTTACTTAGTACATATAACAAAATAACGGATTTTAAATTACATTAATTTTAATAATTGTTGATTTTTATAAGTAAATATCTTTAAAAAAAATTATACGAAACAATTAACGATAAAAAATTCAACAACCATTCTATAATAATTGGAAATTACATAATATAGAACTAAATATCGATAACGATTTCAATTGGACTGCATAATGTTTTGATTTCCATGACAGATTTTAATTTTATCAAACTACAGTTTTCTGACAATATCTGCCACGAAAAAAATATAGTGTATTCTAGTTATTACGAATTTACGAATTCCTTACTTACAATATATGTTTACAATAACAATAGTTTTAGGCAAATATGAAGCATATTTAAGAAATTTTTACTAGTGTTTTATATTTTTTTTTATTTTCCTTCTTTAAATGATCATGATAACACTCACAAACAAAGCAAAGATGAATTGCGTTAATGACGAATATTAATGGATATAAACATACACTGCATGTAGAAGCAAAACGTTGTAACTGGAATACACGTGCATATTTCGAACCGTACTAAAATGAATCCTTACAGCCGTTATATTAATATTAATCAATTAATTTCATTTTAATCATTATGATTAGATGATGATTAGATAATTTAATTTAAGATGATGAAGTTTTTTTATTCTCACCCATATATAACATTATTGTAATCAAAACGAAAACGACAATTTAATAAAGTAATTAATACGAATAGTGTGCGTATTATAATTCGCAAATTTCACAATTCAAAAACGTTTTAAAATATTACATTTAATGTATTTGAAAGTGAAAATAACACGTTAATTTTAAAAATGTACTACATAAGGCGTCTAACTTAACGCATTAGGGACGCCGATTCTTTTCATTTAAAGGTTCTATAGAATAAATAAAAAACAACAATTTTCAATGGAAATATGTTAACTATAAAGATCCATTTTTTCTCAACAGAATGAAACAACTTACTATGTATAGTATTCACGAATATTGCTTTTTTTGTTTTTTTTTTCTCCATGTTTTAAACACGAATGAATAAATATTGTATTCACGATATATAAGCTATTCACGTCGCTACTTTTTTTTTAAGCAACCGATTCGCATTTATTATATTTTCTCTAATAACTGAAGTGTATAAAAAAAAACAAACTGATCAACAATGAGACGAAAAAAAAAAAAGAACGGCAAGTAAAGGGAAAGGCTAGGTCAGAAAAAATTGCTTCCCCTTCGAACAACGTTTTTCCGTCAAAAAAAAAATTAATTTGCTATTTGCCTACTTTTCAACATAATAATAATAAAACATCCGCCTAACAAATAACACATTTGAAAGTGCACACACATTTTTTAGAAAAATTTAAAATTCGTAGAAAGCGAACGCTACAAATTTGACTTGACCTACGAAGAAAATATTCATGTTGTATATGATACTAAATGAATTATGTACTGCTACCTAAACGAGAGTGTTATTCACAGATGGTCAAATTATCCGCATATTCCACTGTTTGTTAAGAATGAATACTTTGTTTAAACCTTTACGTATTTACATTTCACCTTTACATTTACTTTGAGTTAGGATTAACAAATCAAACAATCCTTTCGCACGCAGTCAAATAAGCAACGTGTCGCATTGCGCCTGCGCTGAAACAAATATGGCAGACGCTTATCGTTTGCTCGGTTCAGAAGGAAAATAACCGAAAAAACAGAAGCGATTACGTACATGTGTAGGCGTGTGTGCACAAAACATTTAAAGTGTAACCGAGTGCAAGACGGGCACCGAGTTCATGTGCATCAGGTGGTCCTGTTTAACGCTGGACGCTAAACTCCAGGAGCCACGGTGATGAGACGTTTGTGCCGGGACGGGCGAATGACGGCGTTTCCGATCATTAACCGCGGTTAATAACTCGTTTATGTCATAGCTTACCTCGGCTACCGGCAGGTGTTCCATATAAGTTTTCTGTAAAGTGCTCAGATCAGACAGAAGCTGCTCACCATCCTGGCTGATATCCTCTCGCAGTTGGCTTTGTAATGGAAATTTGCCCCGGCCATTGGAGGAGCAACAGTCGGTGCAAATTTCGCCCCCATTCCATATATTGCGTAGAGAGTCTTTGTCTACTTGCCAAATTGACTTGTCCGGCTCGGGTAAGACCCAGTCACCGTTATCCCATTGGTTCTTGTTGCATCGAGCGCAACCTTCGCCATCATACTTCCACATGATTTCTGTCATAATGCCATCCGGACTCGAGTCGAGTTTCTGGTCGAAGATCCAAATGTCGCTTGGTTTTTCTTCAGTGACTTTCGTTTCTGACAGTAAATCTTGATCACCTAAAAAATTCAAAAAGCAACAATCAGTTTATAAATATGCGCTAGTAAACAAGTTTCTGAAATTTTAAGTCCTCAATTCTAATTCTGACAAATTAAAAAAACATGAAATATAGGTTGCAAATAAGTTAACTTCCAATAGAAAAAATATATGTATTTTACAATTTAAATCTTCAAAATTGTGAGCACTTTAGTAAAATCAAATGCTTAAAATTAGGAAATTTTTTATCGCAGCAATTCCAAAACAGTTTTATTAGAGCCCGTGAGATATTTAGTTTAAAAATGTCCAAAATAAGGACCCTACCATCATTTCTATTTCTATATAAATACAGATATTAGGAAAATAACACAAATCATATTTTTATTACCTGGGAAATAAAAGTCAGATTCACTAATATTCCTTTTTTTACACGGAACTACTTGAGAGTTATCCATTTCGACGTCCATTGTGGACATACTTTCAAGCTCAATCGTATCCGTTTGACAAGCCTTGTCGTTTTGCTTGATGAAAAACTTCAACACAAATTCTTGCTTCATCTTGCCCTCGGTATCGTTATCGTTGCCCAATTCTTTTACCTTTTGGTGGCTTCCTCCTTCCGACTCTAAATACAAATAACCACTGTTGCTGCGCTTGTAATTTGGCTTGTCTAAGTTACTCGAAATAATAAAACTTGTCCCATCAGCATATTGACGATTAACATGAGCTTCTGTCATTTCCTTTTTGAAATTAATAGGTTTGAAATGACTATTATCGGAAGTTAGGAGATTCTCGTCATCGCGCTTATCGTCATAAAATTTCCGAAAATGACTTGCATATTTTGTGGAAGAAAATAAATTCACAGCAGAAGTATCCGATGGCATTATGCGATTTATAGGGCCTTTAGGACAGACCTCTATAAATGAACTACACTCGCGGTTATGATTTATCTTAATTAAACTCTTGATTAGGATGTTCGTGTGACGATCAGTGTTGTACTCCCCCTCGGACCATTTCTTCATTGCAGTAGTTGATATGTGCCACGGATGATTTTTGACTTCTGAAGATTCCCGATTATTACCGAAGAACAGTTCCGAATACGTGTTATTTCTGTCAGTGTCCAACATTTTGTTTTCTTCAGACACGTTTGACCATATATTTCTCGAAGCGTTGCAGTCCATAGTTAATGAACTGAATTTGAACCCTAAGACTGTTTCTGAATTGTTTTCTCTAAAATCGTCTCGCAGCTTATCTTCACCGGCATCTACCGACCAAATAGAGCTTGTTATGTTTGTACCGCTGTGTATGAAAGACTTATTTCCGACTTCCTTTATATTAGCTAAATTCATCATTTCGACGGTGTAGTCGTGAGGACTTGGGGAATCAAGTAATTCTATAATATCTACAGGTAGGTCTTCGTACATTTCGTTTTCTCTACAGTTATCCCAGATTCCAAGGGAGCCGTAGTCGTTTTGATTATTAAAATTTTTGCTAGATAGATTCGACTTTTCCTTTTTCACGTTATCCCCTTTATCTGAGTCGCTTTTCAGGAATTTTTTAGTAAATAAGACGTTCCAAGTATCAGAACAAAAATCCGTATTCTTGCTACGGTTTCCGTATTTATGTTTGCTACTTGTACGGGTCTTAATATTTTCGCACTCTTTCTTGTATAGCAATTTTTCACCGCAACTTGAAGAACGATTGCGCCGACGCGTTCCCTTCTTTTTTGGAGAAGTATAACATTGCGGCATGAAAGTCAAGACCGTGCCAGGCGACCTAAGCGACGTATGAGATAAAGGAGGAAAAGCGGCATAATACTGACGTGCTAAATCAAGTGGTGATACATCGTGAACGGCCTTATTTGAAATGACGTTCGTTGATGGTGGTTCAACCACATTAGTGGACCCATTTTTGTATTGTTTCAATTTTTCACACAATTCATCCACCAAAGACTCAATTCCACAATCCTGTAATAAAATATACATTGGTACTGCATAAATAAGTTTAATTATTATTTTTTTTATTATAAAAAAAGCAAGGCAAATTGTTAATACTTAACGACACCATACAAGAAAATTAAAAGGAGTTCTGTGAAAATAAACTAAATAAATCACTAAAAACCCAAAAAAAAGTCCAAATAAAACATTCAGAAGACAATGAAGTCGAAGCATGCATTCAGTAAATTAAGTTACCCTTCGCTTACAACTCAAAATGACAAATTATAACTTTACAGGCAGTTTAACGTTTATTGTTCGCTATTCTATTTCCTTTTTTAATTTTAGTATTACCAAATTTACATAATTAGTCACAAACGTAATCACAATTGGTAAACCCTTACACAGGTATACGAAGTTACCTGTATTTAGGGGAAGTTATAGTTACCTAATAACTACCAAGAATAAAACTTAAAATATGTACAATACAAAATAATATAAAGTAATTATGAACATGCACTTGTGGATTTTGGATTGTCAGTTGGTTTATTTGACTTGCGTTAAGTGCTGTTAGCACACAAATACCAATAGTTTGATTTCATTTGAATATCAGTAATATGTTGTTGAAGCAATAATTTCTTTTTTATTTAATGTTTTAATGGTTACTTAAATGTTACAAAAAGTATCGAAAATATATATATATTAGTGTTCCACAAATAATTAACAGATTTGCATTAAATAGCAACAAACTACTGTTCGGTCATATTTGGAATTGGTAAATGATTAACTATTTATGTTATGTTACTGATTTACTTAAACAATTTAAAAATGAATAGGTTGGCAAATAAATATGCGAAGAGAAAGTAAGTGCTTGTATTCATAAAATGAAGGATATTGCAAATGCGTTTATTACAATACCTGGTCAGAGGCAGACAGTAGGCACTCAACAGCAGCCGAACGTTTCAGTTCGTCCGCATCGGCCTGTGAATGCCCTAACCACTCAGAAGAGCGACGAAAACGTTTGCGACCTCCACGGGAACGCTTCAAATCCTGAATATAATCAAAAGATGACTGAATTATTTCACTTGCGTACAGTTTTCACTGCAAAAGCAGGAAATTTCGGTATTAACGCGATTTATTTTCATAACTTATTTAAGCAGTACACTATAATAACTCAGTGTTATTAAGCAATTTACTAAACAATAATAAAAGTGATAAATATTAAGAAAAGTGAACCTAGACAGATTATATGCAATTTTTTCTTAAAATACCTAAATATCTTTCAGTCACTATTAGATTAATTTTTCATAAACAAATTAATACATTGTTACCTCTTCTTTAATGTAAAGATTAACCAAAAAGTAGAATAAATAAATTTCAATGATAACCCAAAAAGTGTTTTTCTATTTATAAACGGCCTGTATTAGAAGTAAAGCTAAGTTCCATAATATAAAATTTAACTGGAATATAAAACAAAATTTTTAAAAATATGAAAAGAAGTTTGTTCTTTTAAGCGATAATAAATGTATGGTCCTTTGACACTAATAAGGATACACACTGCTGATTTAAACTATCAAGGAATTTTAGAATTCCACAAATTGTAGCGGTTTTTTGGAAATTAAAAAAAAAATAAACAAATATTCAAAAGTTCGCACTGATATACTTACTACTCTAACAAGTTTGTGAAGTAGTTTTCTTTACATCTTTAGGATGATAAGATTTTACGATAACAATTAAGAATTCTGAGAAGTCGATATAATATAATAAGTATCTTTAATTTTTTTATAAATCCACGCAAAAAGTACAAAATAATTGAATATTATCAGCAGTCGTTAAACACGAAAAATTTTACCTTATCATATGCTTTAAATTGGTTATCTTGATAAGAACAAATTATGTCTGCCGTGTCACGATGAAGTAAGCTCAATATGTAGCGGGTGTAGACCACAGCATCAATGCCACGTGCTTCGAGTTGTTCTTCAAGCCAATCAGAAATCTCTGAGGGCAGGGAAATTAACTGTGGGTACTTCATATTATCTAACTGAAAAAATAAAAACAAATTAATGAATATATTCGGCATAAATAAAACACTAAAAAGCTGAAACCTCACTTAAAAATGTTTAGAAACCTAAAATATGTTTTGACACTTAAGGTGTCATCCTCAATTAGTTAGTCTCTTAATGAAAGTTACATTTACGATTAATTTTTATTAATGCTATTTGCCATTCTTTATAGTTCGATTTTAAATAGGTAAATCAAAAATAGAAAAAAACCTTCAAAAACAAATTTTAAATTTTTACATTTACTTTTGTGCTGAGCACATCTATTGCATGTGGGTAACTGCATCCCTGAATCAATTTGCGTAAAAAGTTTGCGAAATACATCTACACATAGAATCCCTAAAATACCTATATCGACCAACTACTCAATTTACAGTAGCACAATATGCAGTGGGATTTTGAAAAAAGCCTTAAATTATATTATTTTTATAAATTATATAATAGAAATTTCATTGTTACCTTAAAATTGCAGACGAACGTGCCGTAATTGGTAAGGGCGTGATGATTTTTTTGGGTTCGTTTTTGATCCTTCAGTAAGCACAGTGAGGATGCAAAAAGTATCAGGTTGATACCAATGCATTGTAACACCGTTTGCCAGTTACAATGGCATTAGGAATTAAAATAAAATAAATATAAACATAAGGGAGAAGAATGACATTTGGTTTGTCTTCCAAAAATGCTTACAGCTATCCACTGTGCTTTAAGANATTTAGATGATTGTAAATAGATTAGTTATTCCAGACACAGATAAGAGGTACACAATCTTAGACTGTTCTAAATCATAGAACTGATCCAATATGCCAATGCATAAGGAACTATTACTTAACTATGACCTATTATTGGCATTCTTGTCACGAGTCTTTGATTCTTGTCTATGGATTGGGATTATGGGATGATTGTAGGTTAGATTGAATTCTACATTTTATGGTTTGTGATTATTGCTTTTATGAAACGGAACGAATTTTAAATTATCACAAAATCGCTAAAAAATAATTAATTTACTTACAAATATTTAATAATTTAATAAAAATGCCTTGTTGGTATTATGATAAAAAGGAGTTAAAGAATACACCTTCAGCATTGGATGGAATCGATTACGAGACCGAAATGAGATATAGGAAAGAAGGTGGCAAATGTAAATTCATTTTGAATCAAATAAACTACGTATGTGTTATTTTTAAGGTGCAAGATTTATAATTGATACTGGATCAAAAATGGACTTGGGATACAATACAACAGCAACGGGAGTAGTCTACTTTCACAGATTTTACATGTTTCATTCTTTTAGACAGTTTCCACGCTATGTAACAGCATGCTGTTGTTTATTTCTCGCTGGAAAAGTAGAGGAAACTCCTAAAAAATGTAAAGATATTATTAAGACAGCAAGGAGTTTATTAAGTGATACTAAATTTGCTACATTTGGGGATGATCCAAAAGAAGAAGTAAGTTTATATTGCATCAAACTATTAGATTAAGGCATGTAAGCCATATTTCAGGTAATGACTTTAGAGCGAATATTATTACAAACAATCAAATTTGATTTGCAAGTTGAGCATCCTTACAGTTATTTGCTTCGTTATGCAAAATGTTTGAAAGGAGATAAAGTTAAATTACAAAAAATGGTGCAGATGGCATGGACCTTTGTCAATGATAGTCTCTGCACAACTCTTGCACTGCAATGGGAACCTGAAATTATAGCAGTAGCATTAATGTATTTAGCTGGAAAATTAAGTCAATTTGAAGTTATCGACTGGGTTGGCAGAACCTCAAAACATCTAAGGTGGTGGGATATGTTTGTCGAAGATGTAACTATGGATTTATTAGAAGACATATGCCATCAGGTGAGTTATTTTTTATCGTCAGATCTGCACACTGGTATCTTGATACATCGCACTTTCCTTGAATGTATAGCAGAGTACAGTGTGTACTTAGGCTGTAATACTATGTATCTAATCTATTAAATTAAAATTATAACTAAATTTTTAAAGTGGAAAAAAATTGAAAAAGTATTTTTTTAATGCAGGTTTTAGATTTGTACTCACAGCCAACTCCAGATCCACCTCCAGATAGCCCTCCTCTAATGTCGAAGTCAGCGAGTTTGGTTCCTGTATCGGGCAAATCAGCCAATGGTCAAGAAAAAGATAAAATTGTTACACCCCCAGAACCCATTATTACAAATACTAAAGCAACTGCTGTAACTGAAATTCCTTCTTATGTTTACCCTCCTACATATTCAGGTGCTCCTACCCATGCTGCCTCATTTCCACCTGCTTTTGCAAATCATGTTCCTGTAACAGTACCAGGACCACCTCATTTAGCAGGTCCCCCTCCAGGTCCACCGCCGTCTCATATAACTGCTCCACCCGGTGTGCCTTTTGCCTCTTATATTGCTCCTCCCCCTCATTATACACCTGTTGCAACTGCTCCTCCATTTTATCAATCAACACCTGCTCCTTTGCCTTCCCAACCCCATCGTCCATACTATCCACCGCCTCCCTAGCTGACGATTTACGAAGTTGTTTTATTTAGACCATAATAAAAACAACTAAAATTAATGTCATGATCAATAATAAGAAGCACAATTTTCAGTGCGGAATTAGGCTGGTAACAAAATGGATTATTTAAATTTGTGATTATATTAGTTTTAAGGTAAATAATTTTAATAATTTTATAAAAGAAGACTATAAAATACATATGTAAGAGCTTGATACTGTGAGAGGCTTTCCAACAGATTTTGCACAAGATGTTTGATATTTTCCTTTTGTCCAAAAATTGCTGTATAATATTTTTATTTCAAGCTATAATCATTGATGTATAATTGAAAAAAAAATCGAATTGTTACAAATACTTTAATAAACATTCAGCAGATTTTTTTACCCATAAATTTAATTTTTGCCTTCCACATAAAAAAAATCTTTTATATTATTGAAAGAAAAGCTAGGTCAATAAGGATCATTTTCGACTTATTCTGAGCCTAAAAAAAAAAATTTAAAGCAAAACTACTTTTTATGGTAAGTGAAGATATGTAGTATCTTATTCGAGATTCGTGACACTTCAGTAATCAGTCAGAATAATATTTTCTTTTTCGAGCTTCAAACAGGTTAAAAATGATCTTCATCCTCAGTCTATTTTCTTTGATAAGTGGATATCCTTATAAAACGAACATTTTTCAATCGTACAAAGTGTAACATTATTCTATAGATGGCGTCCACTACGCTGTTTGTAGTAATTTAAAATGTGAATTGTTCTTAATAATTAAAAACATTCTTTTATTTTACAAGTGGAGGATACAAACAGTAGTTTCTCAAAGTAATGTAAAACTAAATACTGAATATTTAGCAACAAGCAAAAAATCAATCACATTTGCGTCGTTGAAAGATTGTATACTGTAGTATTACGTTTAAAAGGACAGTGCCTGTTTCTAGAGCAGACAATTTCCTGTATATTTTATGTTACCCACATTCTTACATAAGTTACACAAGGCACTGTTACAATCACATCAAAATTTCTTTTGAAACTACATAGTTTTAATTGAATAATACACAGCCTTTGAAGTCAATGCTTTACAAAATATTCAATAAGTAGGGCTTAAAAAATGAAAAAGACTTAAATTATACTGAATGGTGTCTATTAAGCTATAGATAAAATTAAAAAATAATAACTACCTAATGAAATAGTAAATAATAAATAAAATATTTTAATGGCAAAAAAATAATACGACTAATATGGTTGCCACTTTTTACTTTCAATTGCTAGGATTCATTACTTTTATAGTTTAATGTAGATCAATATTTTAATCAGCACCTTTTTACAAGAAAATCAAAGGTAATTTTCTGAAATTGAACTAAATAAAGCACTAAAATCATAAATTTTACAAAAGAAAATCTTTAGAAACTTAGTACGCTTCGTGAGTTTGTATTCTTTGCATTGGGTATCGAAAAGCGTTTTAGATTTCTAAAAAATTTTGTGTGGAACTTATTAGGAATTCNCAAATAAATTACAGGTTACATAAGCAATGTTTATATCATGTACATTACAAGGTGCCATGATTAAAATACAATGAGGACATTTAAAATCATTAAAAAATAGACCACTTGGTTAACAACTTAACAAAAATGTACTAAATTAGAAAAGACTTTTCCTATCAACAAGAAGACACTTAATGAAGGTTAGCATCATTTACAAAAAAACACCTTTTAATAAAAATCAATATTCGCAAACTAAGAGACAATCATATCAAAACTGATATAAGTTCTACACTAAGTTATTAAACAGTTAAACATTTCTCTGCTTACTATTTATCCATGATTTCATAACATGTACCAGAAGGGCTTTTTAGAACATACTTTGCATGACGTACGTACATAAGTAGTGCATATATGTAAAGTAATATATCTATACAAGTATGCAAAATACATGACATCAAATCTATTATTATCAACATAAAACAAAGGCATTTTTATATAATGAGAAACAAATCACTAAAATTATATAAGAACTGCTGATATGATTGCAGAACATAAAAGATAAATCCCACATACCCCCTTTATTTGATACAAACACCACAAAAATCAATGCGTTTCAGCAACTAACATTGAACAATAAATAAAGCCTTACATGCAGAAAATTTTATATTTATTTATATACTAAGAAACTTAATAACTTACGTAGTAAATTACATACCTATTTATGCGGGGTTTACAATTTTTACCCTTAAATTTCGTCAACACACCCTACAATTAATAAAACATGGCGGTTAGGCACAAAGGCCACTACCAATCAGAAGCAATCCCGCTAAAAACCAAAGATGCTTACTTCATTCATCTATGGTTTATCTCGTTCACTTTAAAAAAATTAAGTTTAATATTAAGATCGTTTAGATCTCAGTATTTTTAACAAACTAGCGATTTTAGAATCTCATTTAGAATCGTTTATAAAATATTTACATATTTAGTAAAAAAAAAGTATCTTTGGCTATTTAAAAATTAGTTCTATTATTTTAAGGTATAGTACGTAACTTTTCTTTATTTAAAGAAAAATTACAGTGAAAAGAAAGCTTTTTATGATTTAAAATTTCTTGTTCGTTTTCGTATTAGTTAACAGGAACATGCCCAAATAATAATGCATTATTAACAAATAAGTTATACAGTATACACGATTATACATTTATTTACATTTCAAAATACGTTTTAATTAAAGCATTACTATATTTTAAAAGATATATTTAGATGATTGTAAATAGATTAGTTATTCCAGACACAGATAAGAGGTACACAATCTTAGACTGTTCTAAATCATAGAACTGATCCAATATGCCAATGCATAAGGAACTATTACTTAACTATGACCTATTATTGGCATTCTTGTCACGAGTCTTTGATTCTTGTCTATGGATTGGGATTATGGGATGATTGTAGGTTAGATTGAATTCTACATTTTATGGTTTGTGATTATTGCTTTTATGAAACGGAACGAATTTTAAATTATCACAAAATCGCTAAAAAATAATTAATTTACTTACAAATATTTAATAATTTAATAAAAATGCCTTGTTGGTATTATGATAAAAAGGAGTTAAAGAATACACCTTCAGCATTGGATGGAATCGATTACGAGACCGAAATGAGATATAGGAAAGAAGGTGGCAAATGTAAATTCATTTTGAATCAAATAAACTACGTATGTGTTATTTTTAAGGTGCAAGATTTATAATTGATACTGGATCAAAAATGGACTTGGGATACAATACAACAGCAACGGGAGTAGTCTACTTTCACAGATTTTACATGTTTCATTCTTTTAGACAGTTTCCACGCTATGTAACAGCATGCTGTTGTTTATTTCTCGCTGGAAAAGTAGAGGAAACTCCTAAAAAATGTAAAGATATTATTAAGACAGCAAGGAGTTTATTAAGTGATACTAAATTTGCTACATTTGGGGATGATCCAAAAGAAGAAGTAAGTTTATATTGCATCAAACTATTAGATTAAGGCATGTAAGCCATATTTCAGGTAATGACTTTAGAGCGAATATTATTACAAACAATCAAATTTGATTTGCAAGTTGAGCATCCTTACAGTTATTTGCTTCGTTATGCAAAATGTTTGAAAGGAGATAAAGTTAAATTACAAAAAATGGTGCAGATGGCATGGACCTTTGTCAATGATAGTCTCTGCACAACTCTTGCACTGCAATGGGAACCTGAAATTATAGCAGTAGCATTAATGTATTTAGCTGGAAAATTAAGTCAATTTGAAGTTATCGACTGGGTTGGCAGAACCTCAAAACATCTAAGGTGGTGGGATATGTTTGTCGAAGATGTAACTATGGATTTATTAGAAGACATATGCCATCAGGTGAGTTATTTTTTATCGTCAGATCTGCACACTGGTATCTTGATACATCGCACTTTCCTTGAATGTATGAATGACGGCGTTTCCGATCATTAACCGCGGTTAATAACTCGTTTATGTCATAGCTTACCTCGGCTACCGGCAGGTGTTCCATATAAGTTTTCTGTAAAGTGCTCAGATCAGACAGAAGCTGCTCACCATCCTGGCTGATATCCTCTCGCAGTTGGCTTTGTAATGGAAATTTGCCCCGGCCATTGGAGGAGCAACAGTCGGTGCAAATTTCGCCCCCATTCCATATATTGCGTAGAGAGTCTTTGTCTACTTGCCAAATTGACTTGTCCGGCTCGGGTAAGACCCAGTCACCGTTATCCCATTGGTTCTTGTTGCATCGAGCGCAACCTTCGCCATCATACTTCCACATGATTTCTGTCATAATGCCATCCGGACTCGAGTCGAGTTTCTGGTCGAAGATCCAAATGTCGCTTGGTTTTTCTTCAGTGACTTTCGTTTCTGACA